CATTCGTGAGTCCCTGTTTGACTACCCATTCTTTTCCTATTGTGATTTTGTGATTTTGTGTTGGTTACTTTGCTTGTTAATTTAACCGAACACGCTGATAAGGTCCTAATCCGCCACATAACTGGTGAGCGCGAATCATTCCTTATTATTTTCCCTGCAGTAATCCCGTGCTTTATTATATTTATTTTTCACGTCACCATGGCTTCTGAACAAACACAGACGCCCGTAATAGACAACGTTCAGCAACAATGCCCTTCGCCAGCTAACCTGGGGGTTGAGTTCAATGCAAGGAAGGCTCAATTTTCTGAGTTATTCCTCCAACTGAATGAGGTCACAAAACGACAAAGACGATCTAGGTCTCGATCCCGCAGTCGTGCTCACAAGCCCAGTGACCATCCTGGCTGGTGCTACTACCACCGTCGCTTCGGCGACCGCGCTATCCACTGCACCAGAACTTGCACTTTCTCCACAAAGCCTTCGAATTCGGTGAACGCCATGGCCGGCAAGTAATGGCGACCACTGCAACCGGCTCCTCTACCTGTCGCCTGTTCTTCGTGTACGACCGCTCCACGTCCTTGAATTTTCTTATCGATACCGGTGCTGAGGTTAGTGTAATTGCTCCTACACGCAAGCATAACCTACAGCCGGTGGCATATACTCTGCAGGCAGCCAACGGTACGAGAATTAAGACTTATGGTGAAAAGCTTCTTACTCTCGACCTAGGTCTTCGCCGTCAGTTTACAGTGGCCGACGTTAAAGCGCCCATTATTAGTCTGGACTTCCTCACGTCATTTGGTCTTACTGTTCATCTCCACAGACGGCAGTTGTTGACAATTCGACAACTATCACCATAAATGGCAAAGCTTCATCCGTTAATTCCATTGGAATCCGCCCAGCTTTGCCGGATAACCGTTGCACAGCACTGCTTCGTCAATTTCCAGAGAACCTGAAACCTGCTTCCAAGACCACTTCCGTAAAAAATAATGTCTTCCACCATATCTCAACAAAAGGCCCACCCACCGCATCCCGCCCACGGCGGTTAGCTCCGGAAAAGCTTGTCATAGCCAAGACCGAATTCCAACATTTGCTTCAACTGGGTATCATACGACCGTCATGCAGCCCTTGGTCATCTCCACTTCATATAGTCCCCAAAATTTCCGAGGGAGATTGGAGACCATTTGGCGATTATCGCGCACTAAATCATGTCACTATCCCGGACAAATGCCCGATTCCGCATCTGCATGATTTCGCCCTTACTCTTCACGGCAAATCTGTCTTCAGTAAAGTAGACCTTGTCAGAGCATACCACCAGATACCTGTCGCTCCAGACGATATTCCCAAAACTGGTATCACCACACCATTCGGTCTATACGATTTCGTTCGTATACCATTTGGGCTCAGAAATGCAGCTCAAACATTTCAACGATTCATGGATCAAGTTTTACGCGGATTAGACTTCGTCTACGCTCATATTGGCGACGTACTTATCGCCAGTCGGTCCGAAGACGAGCATTTGCTTCACTTAAAGCAAGTTTTTGAAAGATTTCAGCAATATGGTACAGTCATCAATAGTAGTAAGTACCAATTTGGTGTTTCGTCACTGGAAATTCTGGGACATATTGTTGA